AATACCGCCTTCCTGAGAGGATTGTTGGGCAGATTAAGTTAAAAGGTACAGAGAGGCACTTGGTGCGTGGTAGATTTTGCCCAGTCTTTAATTCTTTCCAGGGACTCTGAGCTCCTCCTCGGGCGGGGGAGGGTTCCTGTTCCCCTTCTCTTCCCTTTGGCACCAAGGGGGTGGCAGTAGATGTTGACAGGTCATGAGGATGGCGGTGCTGCTCTTGCTTGTCTCTCTGTGACTTTGTCTGGCACACGTGTGTGCATGTGCACGTGCATACACACACACACACACGCAGAGTCAGATATAGCCTGGCTTGGCCACACAGGCTCCTCCAAAGCCCAGAATCATCTTTCACCTCTGAGTGGGCCAATGCTAGGGACAGGCAGAGTCCCTAGCACCTAGGGACAGAAACCCAGGATATGCAGGTCTGGGAGAGCAAGCTCACGGTTGTCCTGGGGCAGAGTGTGCCCAATCCCTGGCCTCAGCTGGCAGAGGCCCCAGAGATGGTGCACTTTTACCTAATTTCTCAGAATCTCTGGGGACAGTGACGCAGGGCAGATTAAAGAATCACCCCCTGCCCAACCCCCACTCCTGTGCCTCTGTCTGGCCATTCACGCCTCAGTGCCTGACATGTGACTGGATGGCCATAGGCCGGCTCCCTTGAGCAAACAGCAGCGCATGTGAGCAGCATTTGGCCTCAGGCTTGGACGTGGCCAGCTGCTTACACAGGACTCTTGCCCCCATTGTGCAGAGGTGGGGGGGGGGGCAGACAGAGTACCTGGATGCCTGGGTTCTCTCCCTAACCCTCAAGGCAAGATCTGGTACACATCCCCGATTTTCTGTAGGCCTCAGTTTCTCTATTTGTATCAGGGTCTGGCTGGCTGGTAGGAGAAGCAGGGCTTAGAGCCTTTGTAGCCCCTTTATTTTGGGGGCAGAAAGACATACTTGGGCCTTTCAGATTTAGATTCTGCACACATTTCTTGGGCACCTGCCCCGGGCCACCCTTAGTAATCCCTGGAATCATCTCCAAACTCATTTCATTCGGAGATTCAACCTCTCCAACATACCTCAATTCCCTCTAGGACTTTTAATGCTTTCGGGGACCTTCCAGGTTCTATGGAAGAGTCTGAAGACATGAGGTGGGTGAAAACTTCTGGAACCAAAGCAGAGCAGTGTCTCATTTCTAAGAGACGGGGTGTCAAGGTCTATGGAGGTGTAGTTGGAGGGGCGTGGTGGAATTCAGAGTGTCATATTACATAATCTTATTTGAAATTATTATATAATTTCGTGCTTGGAAAGTTATTTTAAAACAACAAACCTTGGCAAATAATGAGTGTCAAGACTTGCTTTTCTGATTGGGACTTAGCAGAAGACATGTTGAAAGGGATGATGGCTTAAAATTAAAAGCTGAACTACTGAAATTGCGATTTTATTTTATTTTTTGATCAAACATGGTCAAATATTGCAATTCCATATGTTTCGACCTAATATTTTGGGATTGTCAGAAGAGTACACGGGCAGCTGAGAACTGCTAGTGTTTGTGGGGAGGGAGGGGTCACACTGTGGCAATGATTGGAGAAAGGAGGCGGCCAAAGAAATGCAGAAGGGACATTCATAGCGGGGAGGAAAGCCCGGGAGCTCCGAGAAGGAGGGGTGGTCAGTTGTCCAGCGCTTTGGGACTTGGGGCTGGGAGAGGACCCAGGCTGGGATAACTCAGCTGCTTGGCACCTGCAGCCCTGTCCAGCGTCTCCTCTCATCACTCTGCCTCAGTGTCTTTGCTCTGGTCACACTTACTATCTGTTATACCCTCGAATGCCCCATGCATGCTCTCAACTTGGGCCTCCCTAAGGCTGTCCTCTCTGCCTGCGGTTCTCTGTCCCTGCCTCTTCCATGTCCGATGCACTCTGTCTCTGTTGTTCATCCCTCAGATGGCCACCTTCTTAGGTCTGTCCTGCTCCATTTGCCAGACATTGTTAGATGACCCAAAGGCTGTGCGTCTCCGTCTTGTAACTTCACATTGCTTGTCTGATGTCCATTCTTCCCCACTGGACCCTGAGCTCCTGTGGGCAAGGCTTGTGTCTGTTTTGTTTATCACTGTATCCTGTCCCTAGCACAGTGCCTGGTACAATGTAGCAATGCAGTAGCCACTGAGAAGTGAACAGATGGAACCCCCAAATCTTCAGGATGCTGAAGTCCAGGTCCCTAGCAAGCCTGGCCTCTTCCTCAGCCAGATGTGGTCTCTCTTAATTTCCATCAACAAGTTCAGAGCATTGAGAAATGAGGAGCTGGGTTGTCAGATGGTTTTCTGATTGTCTATTGCTGCAGAACAAACCGCCCCACAACTTACTGGGCCCTTGCAGTAGGCTCACAGGTTCTGTGGGTCAGGAATTAGGAAATGACACAGTGGGGGCAGCTCTTCTGTGCTCCATGATGTCTGGGGCCTCAGCTGGAATGATTCAAATGGCTGGGGCTGGGGATCCACTTCCAAGATGGCCTTTTCACTCTAGTGTCTGGTGCCTGGGCTGGGCTGGCTGAAGACTGGGCAACCATGAGACTCTCAACTGGAGCACCTACATATGGCCTTTAGTGCATGGTCTCAGGTTAGTGGGGCAGTGGGATTTCTTAATGGAGGCTCATGACACTCAGTGCAGTTGCTCCATTAAACAGAGTAGAAGCAGCATGGCACGTTACGATACAACCTAGCAAATCACACAGTGTCACTTCTGTACCCGTACTGGTAGAGACAATCACAAGTCGCTCTGTTTCAAGGGGAAGGACCATAGACCCCACATCCCACTGGACATAGTAGCAGAGGATTTATGGCTATGTTTTAAAACTGTCATAGATGGTTTCTGCCATTGCAGATCTCTGGGATCAGGCTCGTGAGCAGACAGCAAACAGTATGCCCGGATGCGTTTCCCACTTGACTTTTAGCATTGGCAAAGCACATTAAAATCTGCCAGGGGGTGGTGGGAGGAGGCTTGTAGCTTCGTAGGCCTGAGTTTAAGTCCTGGTTCTATCACTTTGTATCTGTAGGGTCTCAGGCGAGTCACTTAACTCATCTGAGTCTCAGTTTCCACACCTGAATAGTGGAGGCAGGACCACTGCATCAGGCTGGTGCCATGGTGAGGATTTGGCGAGCCAGTGAGTGCTCAGTAATGGCCACCTCTGTGACCATCAATGCTCTTCTATGTCAAATGAGAGTAAGAGCAGAGACCCCACAAACTATCTTCTTGGCTTCAGGCACTCACGACTAGGTGAAATTCAACTTATGTTCTTGGGCCAGCCACTCAGCAGCAATCTGGGGAAAAAGAGATGAACACAACAGTGCTGTCAGGCCTGGGAGTGGCTGGGCGGGGTGGAGGGAGGCCGCTGGGTGCAGAACGTTCTTGTGGAATGGTGATTATTGGAAGCATGGGGTTCTTGATGGAGGTCTCTGGGGCATACCAAGGGTCTTCTTTGTTCTAGTCTTAGTCAACATATTTAACATCGATTCAGTTGAAGTCTGACAGCTTGCTGATTTTGTTGGGAAAGGCCAAAGATGGGGAAGACCCAGTTTAATAAGAACTCATGTGAACAAGGCATAGCTGTGGCTTCCGGCTGGCTCCCAACCTTACTAACACTTATTTGGTATTGTGATAAGTGCTTTTCAGGTACAATTCTATTTAATCACCCCAGTAGCTTTATGAGGTGGGTACCTGTATTGTCCCCACTTTATAGTGAGACACTGACACTCAGAGAAGCCAAGTGGTTTGCCCAGGGCCACACCGTGTGTTCCAGCTGCCAAAATGCTAATGCAAGCCTTGACTGCATGAACAAAAGCAAAGTGTCCCAAGCAGGGGAGTGAGACACAGTGTGTTCTTTGCTGGCCAGATCACCCCCAGGGCTGGTTCTCATTTAATTCAGAGACACTGGAGTCCTTCCAGGGGAGGGAAGAGAGAGATCTTGAAGACACAGGACTTCAAAGCCGTGATCTGCGGGGAGTTGCCCTCCTGAAGTTTAAGAGAGAAAGCTGATGGGGCAGGACCACTCCCTCATAGCTCCGAGGGGCTGCTGTGGGGCAAAGAGAGCTCCATTCTCACTGCGAGGCAGAACATGGCTCCGTTTGGGCCATGTAGAGCTGTCTGATAACCCATCTGGTTCCTTTGGGATGCAGTGGGCTTCCCAACACTAGAGGTGTTCGAACTGCAATGGGTTAAAAGTGCTATTAGAGGCAGGAGGATGCTTGGCATTGGGTAGGTGCTTGTACCAGGTGACCCTCAAGGTGTATGGTTAGGGCTCCCCTGTGCTCTATAAAAATCATTTTTTCAGATCCAGGCAGCTTCTTGTATGCTTGGGAGGTAGGAATTATTTTAATGATGACCAAATATCTTACATACATTACTTTATTTGAACTTTATAATAATGCTATTAATTGTGCATACCTTATGGAGTTATAAGAGCTGAAGAAGCTAAAGCACAGAGAGGTTGAGCAACATGCCCAAGGCCACACGGTAATGGGCAGAGCTGGGATTTGAATCCAGGCCTCTGGCTTTGCTTACTCTTGTCCTTGCTTACGGGTCTTCTAGGGGGAAGACTCTCTGGTCAACATTTATAATAATAAGAGAATGATTCAAGTTTCTTCTTGTGGTCTGCCTCTTGGATCTTTGGGTTTGTTAGCTGAAAAAGTGAGGACACTTGATAGAACCCATGAACCAGTGGTGGGCTTGGGGCCCTACCCCAAGCAGGACATAATTGTGATTCACCAAATGTGCCAAGGACTGTGCCAGGCCCTGAGAATACAGCAATAAGCGAAACAGAAGAGATGCTTGTCTGCGTGAAACTTATTGTTTTGTTGAAGCGACAAACTGTGATGGGGTGCTGTGATGGGGTAGAGTGGCACTCATTGTAGGACTTACACCTTTTATCGACTGCTTTCACTGTCCTGTCTCACTTCTCCTTTTCCTGCCAGTTGATGCTGGAATCACTTCCCAAATCAACTACCCTCACTTGAATCTTTGTTGTAGAATCTGTTTCCGGGGGAATCTAAGTGACGAAGACACAGGGCAAAGCCGGGGGACTCAGTGAGCCTAGAAGAGGGGCCACCTAGCCCAGCTGGGACAGAGTTCCAGAAAAGATCCCTAAAGCAAGGGAAATGTCGATTGATACTTCAAGCACGAATGGGAGTCAGTCAGCCAAAGGCGGGTGAGCAGAGAGAGAAGAGGGACAAGAGTTCCAGCAGGGGGACTAGCAGGTGAGGAGGCTCAGAGGCAAGCCAGGATGGTGTGTGTGTCTGTGTGTGTGCGAGAGAGAATGGTGTGTGGGGGTCGTTATGGCTGGTCCATGGGCTAGGTGGGGAATCGGGCCTTTTGAGGCAGACCCCAGATTGTGCTGAGTCTTGGAGGACACAGGGAACAGTTTGTATTTTATCCTAAGAGCCCTGGGGAGCAACTGAAGGGCTGTTGGCAGGGAAGTGCAGCCAGTGGGGCCAGCTAGGAGGACCTGGGAGGGTGTCAGAGGAGGCCAGGCCCCACAGGGTCACCTGAGTCTGTTTTTTAAGCTCCTGAGATGAGAGGGGAGGGAGGAAGAAGCCCTGCTGGGCAGATTCTTGGGTCCCTTTCAAGGAACTTCCTCTTGCTGCCCAGTCCCCCCTCTTCAGAGCTCATAAAGCCAAGCTGGGCACTGCAGTAATTACAGGCTGGGAGAGGCCAGGGCAGGGAGGCTGGGGACGGGCAGGGGGCAGGGAGGGGGTGCCCGGCGGACAGGAGCCGTCACGCTGGCCTGGCTGCCAGGGAGGGAGCGTGCAGACACCAAGGCCCCCATAAAGTCTCCCAGAGCAGGCCCTTTTACAGGCATTCTGGGCTGGGCATGACATCACCGGGAGCCAATCAGGGGCTCCCCCAGCCCTTTTTTCTTCTTTGGGGCCTGTTTCTGCGGTTATTGAGGTACATTCTTGGTAAAGTGGATGCTTTCTTTTGGAATGCTTGAACCCTGTAGGCTTAGCAACCCCTGGCTGTGCCAATCCTCTGTCGGCAAAGCCAGCCAACCCGAGTCCTATGCACCCTTCCAAGGCAGAAAAGCCTCCCAGGCAGACCGAATGGGCCACCCAAAGTTCCCTTTAAGCCACAACTTCAAACTTCTCTTAATGAATCAATGTCTTTCAAAAGATATCCATTTAAGAAAAATAATCAACATGGTCTGAGAAACACACAACAACAAAACAGAAAGTAGGGAGCTTTCTGTTTGGATTAGAATACCGGCTCCATGCCTTACCACCTGTGTCGTTCTTGGACAAGTTTCCGTCGCCTCCAAGCCTCAGTCTTCCCATCTGTAAAATGGGCACGATGCTGTCCACTTAGCAGGGCTGTTGTGAGGGCCAGACTTAATGGATGGGTATTAAGTGCTCAACCACCATTAGCCATTATTTTAACAAACCCATTCTTCTTCGCAGCACTTGACTTAAAGACTTAAAAAGGCTTTCCAGGTCTGTCTACTTCCCACACTGCATTTATGGGGCAGATGATCTTAAGGAAGACGGAAATGAGGACCAGACAGGCTGAGGGTCTTGTGAAAGCTGCTCTTTCTAATTATGTGCTGTTTGTAGTTCTTGTGTGAAGTGCGATCATTTGTTAGCTCCAGTTAAAAGAAACTATAAAACCCATATAAAACCCAACTGAAAGTTTAGAAACAAGGGCAAAAATGTTCCTCATAAGACTATCTTGCATTGTAAGTGCATTGACTTTTATGTTAATACGTAGTTTGTACGTGCTGGTCTTGATAATAAACTTGAAAGGTGAATTCAGTATAAACGTGCCTTCACACCTTTGCCTGCTACACAGTCTTACAATCGTGTTAATGGCTACCTGTTATTTCATCACATTGATGCTGGGTATTGTTGGATTTTGCTTTCAGTTTCCCCATATTCTAAATATTGCTTCCATGAACATGTTTCTTTTTCCACAGAGCATTTCTCTGCATTTGTCTCACTTCCTTAGGATAAATTCCCAGAAGCAGCATCAGTAGGTCTCAGGATAGGAACATTTTTGTGGTTTGTGATACATATTTTCCAATTTACTTTCCATAAAGGCTGTTCTAATTTACTTTGCCTCCAGCAAAGTTTGCCTGTTTAGCAATTTCAGGGCAACCTCACCAGCATTAGGTATTATTGTTTATTTTGCTTGCTATTAGATAAACTGTTATTCTTTACTATTAAATAAATTTTAAAATAAAATAAAATGGTTAATTATTTGTGTATTCAAAGATGTATGTGGCTATTATTAACATATGTATCAATGGATGTATGTTCTCTTTTTTAACATTATCTGGTATTTTTTTTTTTTTTTTTGTGAATAAGCCAAGTCTTCTGCTGCAAAATGCAAGAATGCCATTCTTACGTGCTGGTGAAAGGCAAGTAAGTATAGGCTCTCCCATGCCAGACAGTAATAATTGTAATAAACTGGGGCTGCCGCCAAAATTGAAATCAACAAATGATTACAGAGACAATGGAAGCTCAGACCTGACCCTGATGAATGAAGTTGCCAACGTGGCTTCCTGGGGTGGATGTCAGCCAGAGGCTTCCCCTGTGACTTGCAGTAGGTTCTCGTGACAGCCGTAAGTAGTTTGGGGACTTAGAGAGGCAAAAGCGTGCTTATGGGGCTGGGGAGCGGGTGCAGATGGGGTGGGTTGGTGGAGTCTGGAGTCTCCATGGCCAGCAGAAGGAGGAACTTGGTGGAGAGAGGAGCTCGTAGGGGGTTCGTGAGAGGATAGAAATGGAGAGCATTTGAGGTGGGGCATGAGGCGACCGGCCTAGCCATCTCAGACAGAGCCCGTCACCCAGCCCAGAACTGAGCACCCCTGGTGGGAGTCTGACCAACAAAGTGACAGGAACAGCCAGGCCCAGGTTCCAAGCCTGGCTCCAGCAACCCACACTCGTGGAAAATGTCGGTGTGGGTTGGGGGATGGCCAGGAACCCAGGCAACACGAAACACGCCCTGCCCCTTTGCTCCCTGGCTTCGTGTCCTCTCCAGGTGGTGTCCCCACTGCCAGTTTGTATGCACAGCCTGTGTCCTTCCCCTCTCGGGTGGCCTTTCCTCCTCCTGTTTCTAAGCCTTACTTGGGTCCAGCTGCGCCCTTCTCAGATTTCTGTCCTCAGAGCTCCTACAACGCTCCTCTGTACCCTGGGAGGGTGACATACAAAACCTGCCTGTGTCCACCCCTCCTGTGTCAGACCTAGTAGGTGGAGCCTCAGTGCTCATTCATCTTTGCAGCACTGATGCTACTTCCCCCTCCTCCAGGAAGCCTTCCTTGACCTCTCCACTGAGCTGATGACCTCCTCCTTTGCCTTCTTCTGTGGAACCTGTCATGTTCTTATCATGTCAGGTTCTTATCATCATGCCAGGCTCAGAGTTGGACTGTTTACGAGTCAATCCTCCGTTCCAGATGCCCGACCTCTGCAGCCACACCTGTGTCTCTTGCTCCGGAATGATAACCTCATACCTAGCCCCAGCCGTGGCACTTCACAGACTCTCAAGGAACATCTGCTGAACACGTGAGTAATAAAATAAACACTCTGCCATTTACAAAGCACTCTCACCACACATTATCTTATTGGGCACAACCTCATTGTAAAGGCGGAGAGGCTGGGTATTGTTATGCCCATTTTACAGAAGGCAATAATGACACCAGCTGACACTTACTGAGAGTCTCAGTGGGCCAGGCCCGATGCTCAGCACTTTACAAGCAGTGTCCCATGTCATCTCCCCAACAACAAAAGGAAGTAGCTACCTTCACCATCCTCATTCCACTGGGAGGAGACTTGCTGGGAACAAGGAACTTGCCAAGGCTACACTGCCAGGAAGGGACAGAGCCAGAGTCTGAGCCCAGTCCTGTGTGTCGCCAAAGTTCCCACTCTGCTACCACTCCTCCCCACGGCACCACCTCTCCCGTCTCCGCCTCTGGACTTTGAATTTGGAAGAGAACGCACAGTGTCTTGCTTGGCCCTGCGTCTCCAGAGCTGGGCACAGGGTTGGGCACAGGCAGACGTCAATAAATGCTGATGAAATGGGTAGACGGATGGGTGGATGGACGGCTGGTGTCTGCCCCAGCTCTTTTGCAAGTGGAGGAGTTTCTGCTTTTGGGCAGTGCTGCCAGGAGGTGGGGGTTGGGTTCGACTTGGGCTGATCTCGTACCTGCGTTGCTCTTGTCATAAAACACGAGGGTGTGTCCTCCTGGGGACACAGTGAGCAAGGTGCCCGCCCGCTAGTGCATCAGATGTGTCTTGCCAAGCACCGAGGGCAAAAAGAAATGTCCCCGGAGAGCAAACAGCCGCCTCCCGCCCACGCCAGGCGAGCAGGATCACTTGGCTCTGTCTACACACGCGTCCCTCTCCTCTCCCTGCTGATGGTCTTGGGAGATAACGTGCTCCGCCTGGGTCCCCGAGCCTGGGAGCTGCAGTTGTGAGGGTGGCGGGTGCCACGAGGACCCGTGCCTCTGGGCCAAGTGGGCTGGGTATCCTTCCGGGCCATAGGCTCTGGAGGGCAGCAGGACCCCTCGTCCCGGGGCAGCGAAGTCAGACAGGGCCTGCCAGCCTCGCGTTGGCCGCTCCGCCCCGCTCTGGGGCAGATTCCAGCCGCTGAAGGCGGAGCTGGAGCTAGTCCTCTGCCCTCAGCTCTGCGTGGGCCCACCTGGCTGGACGGGCAGCTCAGGTGTTGATCTGCACCCAGGGCCCAAGCGCAAGACTCAAGGCGCCGATGTCCCCGTGCGCCTTGCCTGGCTTTCCCGTTAGGGCGCTCGGCTTTGCCCGCGAGACCGCTCAGGAGTCCAGGCTGGACAGTGCTGGAATGGGGACAGCTGCCATTTACTGAGCTTCTGCTCTGCCTTACGCACGTCGCGTGGGGTGTCTCATTTAGGGTGTTGGTGTCTCAGAGTGCTGACAGCGTGGATGTCAGAGCTAGCAGGCTGTGGGTTAGGTTCTGATTCTTCTGCCAGTCGTGTCACCTGTCTGAGAGTGCGTCTCCTCACCTGCAGCGTGTTCCGACCGGTAACGGTCCCGTGCCCCGCAGGCTGACGGAGAGCCTGTGCGTCTGCCCTGCTCAGGGCAAGCGCGTCGCCCGGGCTCCCGCCCAACGCCGTCTCCGCGCCCCAGGCCTGCCGACCCTCCGGGCCCTGGGGCCTCCGCCGTCTTTGCCGCGGTCCTGGGCTCTCGCTGCTCCGTCCGCTCCTCGCGCGCGGCCTGCGGCCCGGGAGTGCGGTTCCCGCTGTGTCCTCACCTGCGTCTTGGACTTGGGTTTCCTGCCTCGGTGCTCCGTGCTGACCCGGACCTGAGGGGCGCCCACCGCCTGCTCCTTCCGCGCCGGCCGGCGCTGCGCCCGTGACTTCCTTCCCCTTCGGCCTTCCCTGGGCCTGAGGCTCCTTTCTTCCTGCACCTTCTCTTCCCTGTGTGTGTGTGTGTGTGTGTGTGTGCGCGCGCATGTGGTGTGGGGATGTGTGGTGTGGTATATGTGTGGTGTATGTATGTGTATGTGTGGTGTGTTGTGTGGTGGTGTGTATGGTGTGGTTTGTGGTATGGTTTGTGGTGTTTGTGGTGTATGTGTGGTGTGATGTGGCTGTGTGATGTGCGTGGTGTGGTGTGTGTGGTGGTGTGTGGTGTGAAGTGTGTGGTGTGAAGTGTGTGGTGGTGTGTGGTGTGAAGTGTGAAGTGTGTGTGGTGGTATGTGGTGTGATGTGTGTGGTGTGGTGGCATGTGATGTGTGTGGTGTGAAGTGTGTGGTGGTGTGTGGTGTGATGTGTGTGGTGTGGTGGCATGTGATGTGTGTGGTGTGAAGTGTGTGGTGGTGTGTGGTGTGATGTGTGTGGTGTGAGGTGTGTGGTGGTGTGTGGTGTGAAGTGTGTGTGTGGTGGTGTGTGGTGTGTGTGTGGTGGTGTGTGGTATGTGTGTGGTGTGAGGTGTGTGGTGGTGTGTGGTGTGATGTGTGTGGTGTGATGTGTGTGGTGTGAAGTATGTGTGATGTGTGTGGTGTGTGTGTACGTGGTGTGTGGTGTGAGGTGTGAGGTGTGTGGTGTGTGTGTGGTGGTGTGTGGTGTGTGTGGTGTGTGGTGTGTTGTGGTGGAGTGTGTGGTGGTGTGTGTGTGATGCTGTGTCGCTGTATGTGTGTGGTGTGAGTGTGTGTGATGTGTGCTGGCTGTGTGGTATGTGGAAGGTAGGGGTGAGTGGGTGTGGGTGTGTGGTGTGTGTGTGGTGTGAGGTGTGTGGTGGTGTGTGGTGTGATGTGTGTGGTGTGAAGTGTGTGTGATGTGTGTGGTGTGTGTGTACGTGGTGTGTGGTGTGAGGTGTGAGGTGTGTGGTGTGTGTGTGGTGGTGTGTGTTGTGGCGTTACATGTGAAGCGAGCTCGGGAGCCAGGGGTGGCGAGGGCGAGGCTGGCCCGCTCTGGCCGGGGCGGGGCCGGCGTGAGGCTCGCGGCGCCTGCGCCCGTTGCGCCTGGACGCCGGGAGCGGCCGGGCGCGCGGGCTCAGGTGAGCGGAAGGCCCCGTCTGCCTGCCGCAGACCCTGGCTGCGTGCGGGAGCTGGCGAAGGGTGGCCGGGCGCGTTGCGCGAGTGTGAGCGAGTGTGAGCGAGTGTGTGGGCGCCGGGTTGGGACAGCTCGCGTCTCTGCACGTCTCCGCGTCGGGTGGGGGCAGGAGGGAGAATGTGCGTGCTCTCCCTCAGGACACTCTGGGTGTGAGCGCGCAGGTGTGACTGTGTACAGTGTGCGCATGTGAGTTTGTGCAGTGAACGTGCGGGGTGACTCGTGCCACCCACGTGAGCGAGACCAGGGCTGCGGGAGCGTCACTAGGCGGCCTTTAGCCCACGTCTGGGCGGTCTGTGAGCACGTGACGTCGGACTGTGCTGGTGAGGGGCTGTGTGTGTGAAAGACGTGTAAACACGCGCACACGTGGACACGCAGGTGGGGAGGGGTGCGGGGCTGCGGGCAGGGAGCTCAGCAGGTCGGGCCCCTGCTCTGCTGGGGGCTCCTTCTTGGTTCTGTTCAGAAGAGCAGGGCCGGGCCAGGGCCCCTCCCGGTAGGACAGAGGCCGAGCATGCTCTCCGTCCGTCCCGCTCGGCCTGCACCAGACACAGCCCGGGTGCTCCGAGTGCGAGTGAGGCCCGGGCGGCCGGAGGAGGCGGCCTGGGCTGGGGCAGGCGGAGGGGAGAGGAGACCCCCGCAGCCTGGCTTCAGGAGCCCGAGAGAGCCCCAGAGCTGTCTGGTCACACCGAGGTCTGAATTTAGCTCCCCACATTCTCATACTTGGTGCTGCCCTCCCAACGTGGGTTAGGAGTCACCGAGCAGGTGACAATGACTTCCCGAGGCCAGCTGTATTCAAAAAGCCATGGGTGTCTCTCGTCCTTATCACCAGTGTCCTAATGAAGTTTTGAGGAAAATGTTTGTTGAATGAATTACTGAAACGTGAGGATGCTTGTGGTTGCCCGGGGAAGGAGACACCATGTGGAAAGTCCTATTCTACATCACAGGGGACAGGGCATGTGGTTGCAGCGGGTAGACGGTGCATGTGTGCGTGACTGCATGCGTGTGTGTGTGTGTGCACAGGCCTGCACATGTACGTGGGTGTGAAAGGTGGAAGGGAAGAATCAGAAAGCCACTCCCCTCCAACCAGGGCTGCCCCAGCCCAGGTTTCCCAGGCAGGATCACACTCCCCTTCCGGCTCCTAGGGGGCAGGGCTGGGGCCGGTGGGCAGAGCATCAGTGTGGGGATCCTGTTTTCCTGGGAGGGGCATCGGACCTCCTGGGGGATTTGTACCAGCAGCTAAGCAGATAATTGCTTGTCAGATTGATTGAAGGCTTTTCAAAACGTCTTTTCCTCGGAACACCCTCCCTTCCCCCCATGAGCAGATTATTTGAGTTGGAACTGTTCCCCCTCCGCTTTTTTCCTCCTTTCTCAAAGTAGTAATTACTGCCCGAGTAGCCCTCCGTGGCGTTTCCTGTCATTTGGAGGCTGAAGCCAGCGGCTGTTTCCTCTGCTGGGTGAGCGACAAGCAGGCCAATTAGGCAAACACCCCGCCCCCAGCCTGGGCCTGAGCCCCAGGGGCTCCTGGTGGCCTCCACGGGCCCATGGGGCCTGGCTGCTCCTGTGGGGACAGAGGGTGGGAAGGAGCCAGGGCCGAGCAACTGAGGTAGCCTGGCCCTCTTCCAAATCCTGGGGCTTCCCTCCCCCTTCGTGTCCTTGTTCCCTTACATGTGAGTTGTGCACAGGCTCTTTGGCCCCAGTAAAAACTCCATAAGCACTAGAGGATGAATATAGTTGGCAATAACGTATTCTATAGTTAATAATATATTCTATAGCTAGAAGGAGGATATCGAATGTTCCCAGCACAAAGAAATGATAAATGTTTTGAAATGATGGATATGCTAACTACCTTGATCTGATCACTCTACATTATATGTATCAAAACATCACTATGTACTCTATCTATATGTATAATTAATATTTGTCAATTAAAAATAAATCCTCCCCCAACCTGGTCACCTTCAGTGGTTTTCCCAAAGGAGCTCA